GGAAGTCTTATGTATCCACCTTCCCTGGATATAAGTGGATGTCTTGAACTGCCCAACAGAATACTGGCCTCCATTCACTGGTGCATGTGAAGTAATTGGTCTTTGACTTGAAGCCAACTGATTTTCTGGGTTAATGACTCTGAATTTCTAACATGGAATATTTCAGAGGTACTGGCCCTTTAATGAATAGCAACTTTGTTGCCCTGGAAAGCAATTTACCAAAATCCACAGGCAAGAATATTTGTGTTGATAACTTAAAACAGAAAAATACCTGCAAATGATGGAGTGTTTAAGATGACCATACACTTGTATGAAATAATTCCTTTGGAAAGATGTTCAGTGTTATAAAGATGAAAATCAATAAGTTGGATAAAAGGCAAAAAGTTGGACCGAGGGTGTAGCTCATTTGGGAGAGTGCTGGTCTAGCATGCACAGAGCCCTGAGCTTGATCCTCAGACTGCATCAATCAAGCATGCGTTTACAAGCCTGTGATCCCAACACTCAGGGGATAGAGGCAGGAGGTTCAGAATTCAAAGCCATCCGTGGCTACATAGTGAGTTTGAAGTCATATAACCCTGTTACAAAAGCAAAACAAAGTGAGGGGGAAGCTATGACTAAACATGTGGTGACAATATGGGTGTCTTTAAAGAGTATGGTAGTGTCTTTGGAGTCATTTTGGAAGGCTTTGCTCTTTGCCATATCAGCATAAACTTTCCTTTCATGTTGCTCAGGATTCCAAAGGTGATTGGTGGTCACATATCCAGCGGCCTGCTCCACATCCTCCTTTGATTTCAAATGACACCGTGAAGAAGGCTCGGAGTTCAAATGTACAGGATTACACTTCTCACCTCTAAAGTGGACTCTGTTCACAGGGAAGCATTGTATGGCTTCTACTCCATTTGCAAAAAATCTTTCTTCTCCTATCCTTGTTTTTCCCTTTCAACCTTCTAGCTTTTTGGAAGTGCCCTCTCCCTCCCTCCTCCCCCCTCCTTCTCATTTTCTTTTTCTCCATGAAAGGCCTACAAATGGAATCTCTCTGTTCTGCTGTGACTACACATGACCCTACATTTGTCTTCTGCTTTGAGAAATGTCATCACTTTCTCTGGATACAGAGGTGGAGTAGATTTTGAATTCCAGAAAAATTTCCAAAAAGTTGTCCACTGAAACATCACCATTCTTTCTGAAGTTCTTTCATCATTAAATGATACTTGTCACAGAGGAGTCCTTTTGCTGGCACATCTGCACTTTGGAGGCATCTGCTACGGCCAGTAGCAGCGATGCACATTTGAACCTCTAAATTCCAATTTAATAATTGTTTGTCTCACTTGATGGCTGATTGTCCTCATGATGAATTAAATGGACATAGCTACTTTGCAAGGTTTGTCACTAGCCTGGAGCATTTTGAAAATCTATTCCTTTTCTCCTATGACCTGAAAATATTTTTCCAGGTACCCATTTTTATGAAACAAACTCCCCTGAAACTGTTTACCTTAAAGGTACTTGACTTTGTGGATCAGGAAGTTGAGAAGAACAATGTTGGTTCCAGATTGTATCCATGTGGCATTGGTTGGTGCAGCTGGGGCTGGAAGATCCACTTTGTTTGTTTGTTTGTTTGTTTGTTTTTTGGTTTTTCGAGACAGGGTTTCTCTGCGTAGCTTTGCGCCTTTCCTGGAGCTTACTTGGTAGCCCAGGCTGGCCTCGAACTCACAGAGATCCGCCTGGCTCTGCCTCCTGAGTGCTGGGATTAAAGGC